ATAGCAAGGGTTTTGGGTTTTGGGTTTAGGGTTTTGGGTTTTGGGTTTAGGGGGCCCTAAACCGTAAACCTTAGACCCTAGGTTGCTTGGGCTCTAGCTAACCCCCCAGAGCCTTGTGTCCGGAACCTGACTTTCGTTGGCTTCCCCAAACTCCTACACCGAAAACCCCTAAACACCCTAAGCCCTAAACCCCTAAACCCTAAACCCTACACCGAAAAAACTTAAACGCTCGACCTCTTAGGTCCTAACCCTAAAGCCCGGTATAAACCCTAAGCCCCAGAATCCATCAGAATCCGGAAACTGATTCCTAAACCCGAATACTCTAAACCCTAAAACCCTAAAAGTCTAAACCCTAAACCCTATAAACCCTAAGCCCCAAAACAAAAAAAACCCTAAACCCCAAACCCCAAAAAACACCTATGTTTGTTGGCTTCCTTTGCGCCGTCGGCTCCAGCGCTGCTTTTGAGTCCAAGGACGCATGGGCCCAGCAGGAGCGAACCCAGAGAACCCAATGCACCTTAGTTAAGGGATATACCTTAAATTATAGGGGCCTTATTATAGGGTTTAGGGTTTATAGTTTATAGGGTTTACGGTTTACCCAGAGAACCCGTGGTCTTTGGCCCCCCCAACCGACTGGACAGGTTCAGTCCCATCTACCACACACTCCTCAAAGGGAATTGGTCTCTTGGGGCTCTTAACCCAGAGAACCCAATACACCTTAATTAAGGAATATACCTTAAATTATAGGGTTTAGTTTAGGGTTTAGGGTTTAGGGGTGTAGGGTTAATTATCGGGGCCTTAGTATTCAGGAATAGACCTTAAATTGTAATCGGGTTCCTTAAAGGGTCTCTATAAGGGCTCCAATAAGGGAATTAAGGAATATACCTCAAATTATAGGGTTTAGTTTAGGGTTTAGGGACTATAGGGGCCTTATTATTAGGATGGAATATAGGGTTCCTTAAAGGGATCTATAAGGGTTCTATAAGGGAATTAAGGAATTATACCTTAAATTATAGGGGCCTTATAATTATGATGTAAGGAAAATTCCTTAATTAAGGGATATTGGGTTCTCTGGGAAGACGTCCGAAAGACCCCGGGAAGCCAGGGCACAGGGTTTAGTTTAGGGTTTAGGGATTAGGGGTTTAGGGTTTAGGCGTTAGGGGTTTAGGGGTTTAGGGGTTTATGGTTTAGGGTTTAGGGGTTTAGGGGTTTAGGGTTTAGGGGTTTGGGCTTTAGGATTGAGGGTTGAGTTTAGGGTTTAGGGATGTTGGGGGGATCAGGGGTTTAGGGGATTGAGGTGTGGGGTTCGTGGATGACTTCTTTGAGGGTTCTAGTTGGGGTTTATGCAGCTGCTACAAGTATAAAGAGTTCGAATTAACAGGGTTCGGTGAGCGTTCTACCCCTTTGGGTTTGCAGGGGTTCCACTAGGCTTCTACGATCATGCCTTCTTTCAGGGCTCGAGAAGGGTTCTGCAAGCCTTTACTTGGAGGTTCATGGGTAGTTATAAGTAGGGTGATAAGTTATAAACCCCCTAATAGGGTTTAGAGTTTAGGGTTTAGAGTTTAGGGTTTAGCGCTTAGGACTTTTTTTACTGGGGGGTAGAGTTTGGGGTCAGAGGGCTTGTCTGTAGCCCCATGCAGCCCCTCCGACTCTTGACCCAGAATTACTTGGAGGTTCATGGGGAGTTTTTAAGTAGGGCCATAAATCCCCTAATATGGGTTATAAAACTATAGTCAGTTTTAAGTAGGGTTATAAATCCCCTAATATGGGTTTTGAAACTATAGTTACCTTACTTATAAACCCACTTATAACTACCCACGAACCTTCAAGTAGAACCCTAAACCCTATAACCCACTTATAACTACCCATGAACCTCCAAGTAGCGGTTCTAGCACTGGCAACACTGCCGTACGGGTCCCAGGCACTCTCCATTATAGGGTCTTTTTTGCGTGCCATAAGGCCTGAATAGATACGGACTGCTTGAACCTGCGTAAAGTCCCTACAGTCTATAAACCCCTAAACCCTAAAACCCTAAACCTCGAAACCCAAAACCCAAAACCCCCAAACCCTAAACCCTAAACCCCCCCAAAAAACCCAAGGCTGCAGTAGTCTTCGGACCCCAGGAGCCACCGCCGCACCGCAGTGGCACACCCAATGCGTGAAGTCCCAAGAAGGCATGGCTGCCCCTGGAGGTCACTCAGGGTTTAGGGCTTAGGGTTTAGGGGTTTAGGGTTTAGGAGTTTAGGGTTTAGGGTGTACTTGGAGGTTCATGGGCAGCTATAAGCTTATAAGTCCCTTAATTAATGAGTCCCTTAATAGGGGCTATAACTATAGTTACCCTGATTATAACCCCACTTATAACTAGCCATGAACATCCAAGTAGGGCTTCAGGATTTCGTAGGGGGTCTGGGAGGGCTGTAGGGCTCATAAGAGAGTTCTATAAGAGCTGAAATGTGCGTTAGGGTTTAGGTCAGGGCTTTAGAGCTTTATAGGGTTTAGACATTTAGGGTTTAGGAGCTTAAACCACAGCGGCACCTTGGATGCTGAATCCCGAAGATGTCAAAACACCTCGAAATGTCTCAGGCTCCACAAACCCCTAACCCTCCAGGTGCCTACTATACAGGGCCCTAGAGGCTCTAGTACCCTATATAGTAGGTACCTGGTGGGTTAGGGAACGAACACAGTATGCCTGCATCACCTACTAGTTAGTAGAACTCAGAGCCTATCGACTCCTATGGCCGGCACCCTTTTGTATAAAGCCTTAAAGTCTAGTCCTCTAAGCCGCAAAGGCAGGGCAAAACAACTCTTCAAGAACCCTAAACCCTAAACTCTAAACCCTAAGCCCTGAACCCTAAACCCTAACCTTCAGGAGCCCTAACAGAGGAAGCCTCTGCGGAACCCTCAAGTCAAAGGCACCCGTAAGAGGAACCCTTAAAGGAGTCCCAAAAAGCACCCTTCAGAGGAACCCTAAAGCGCTTACAAACCCGGCAGAATCCATAGGGTTTAGGGTTTAGGGTTTCGGGGTTAGGGTTTAGGGTTTCGAGCTTTTGAAGGAACTCTAAAAAGAAGCCTGAAACGCAACAGGACCGGTCCAACAGTTGAAGTTCCAAAACTTCGAGCAATTGGTGCGGCCACCGGTTCCTACGGTCTCTCCGCGGCTCGGTTGAGGAGTTCTTCGTGGCTTCGGAGGTTTTTTTTTGTTGTTTTTTGGATGGTGTTCGTGTTGCATTGAGGGTGCGCTTAAGGCTCCTCTAATCTACGGGTTGAGGGTTATAGTGTTAGGCTGCTGCTCAGCTGAGGACTTATCGTATTTAGGGCTGTTGGGTCAGGGCTTTTAGGGATCTGGTGCTTGCCCATAGGCCCCCAAGTAGTTCCTTTTTGGGGGTTACCTTATAGGATTCTAAAAACGAACCATAAAAGGAACTACTTAGGGGCCTATGGAGTAAATTGGGGATCCCGGCTTCGGATCTATAGGTTGAATAGAAGGGCTGAGTTCGGGGCGTGTGGCAGGGTTCCCCTAAAGGTCCAAGTACCTAAGAATCAGATACTCTTCTGAATACTAACCTCCAAAATCTACTATCCGTAACCCAAGTACATGATTATTAGGTCCTTTGGACCCTTAGGGTTCTTTCCGTGGGCAGGAATTTGCCAAGTTGCAGGGCGTGAAGTCGATAAGTTGAGGGCTTTGGCCCTTCTGTTGATGGTATAACTCCTGCATCACCTTAAGGACCCCGCAAACTATGGGAATTATGGCATATTCCTTATTATGGGTAGTGCAGGATTTATATTATCAACCGTAGGGCGTCAATGGTCTCCTTCACGGTACAACTATAGTAGATACTATGATCATTGCTTGTTCTTCTTCCTCTGGTTAGTATTACCATTATAAGTATTCTTATATTGATCCCAGCATCCCTAAACCCTATAAACCCCAAACCCTAAACCCTAACCCTAAACCCTATAAACCCTAAATCCTAAACCGTAAACCCAAAAATCCTAAACCCTCAACCCCTAAACTCACACCCAGTGCTTACGACTCGGCTCTCCATAACTGTACCCATAGCCTCCATACTGTTGATGATATAAATCCTGCAACAGGTTTAGGGGGTTTTGGGTTAAGGGTTTAGGGTGTTTAGGATTTAGGGGTTGATGATATAAATCCTGCATTAGCTTAAGGACCCCAAACTAGGGGAATTATGTTATATTCCTTATCTTGAGTAATGCAGGATTATATCATCAACCGTAGTTCCTTATTTGGTTATGTAGCGAACTTTACATTAAAGTATCCAAACCATAGAATTTGTTTACCCAAAAAAGGAGCTACAATGGAGACTCTAGGTAGGGTTCCTTCTTGTGATTTTCTTATATTCGAAGTCCTGGGAAGGGTAGCTCTGCTAGGGTCCAGGTAAACCCTAAATTCGAAGACTCTAAATTCCAAACTCTAAACTCTTTAAACTCTAAACCCCTAAACCCCTAAACCCTAAACTCTAAACTCTAAACCCCTAAACTCTAAAACCCTAAACCCCTAACCCTAAACTCGAAAACTCTCACCTCTAAACCCCTGAACCCTAAACCCTAAACCCCTAAACCCTAAACCCCTAAACCCCTAAACCCTAAACCCTAAACTCATAATAGGGTCTTTGGGCCCAAAAGCCTTAAAATATGAGTCCTTTGAGGGTAAGGGAAGACAAACCCTAAACCCTAAACCAAAACCCTAAACCCTAAACTCCTAAACCCGAACCCCTAAACCCTAAACTCGAAACCCTAAACCCTAAACCCCTAAACCCGAAAACTCAAGCAGAAGAGGCTTCCGGCCAAGCACTACGTCCCCTTCGAGGCCGAGCTTGCCGTGCTCTTCTGCGTCGGTACGTCGCCTGTTGCGGTGAGGTCATGGAAGCCCTTTCCCTAAAGGGTTTAGGGGTTTAAGGGTTTAGGGGTTTAGGGGTTTAGAGGTTTAGGGGTTTAGGGGTTCAGGGTTTAGGGTTTAGGCCTTTCCCTAAGGGTCCAAGTAATAATCATACACTCTTCTGAATACTAACCTACAAACCTACTATCCGTAACCCAAGTACATGATTATTAGGTCCTTTGGTCCCTTAGGGTTTCGCATCGGAGGAGGTTTAGGGTTTGGGTTTTGGGACGGGTTTAGATTGCAATTAAGCGTTTGGGGACCGTTATTTCTATGGTCCCTAGTTACATTTTGCGATCCTGAGTTGAGGAGACCCAAAACGCTGCCCCCTACGGTTTAGGGTTTAGGGTTTAGGGTTTAGGGGACTTCCCCCTCAGAAGTGTTCAGACATAAAGAAGCTTTGCGCGACTTTCAGGGCTTGGGGTGAACTCTCAGGCTCTGAGAATGGTACCTCAGTATATTGTTCGTCCCCAAAGACCAGCAAGTACAGAGTTGAGTTGTGGAGTCATGTCTGACGAAAGGATGGCTGCAGGTTTCTAATTTTTCTTACAAGTCTTGTGTGGCTGTTTCCCCTAAACCCCAAGCCCCTACCCCTAAACCCCAACACCCTATTCCCCATGGTAGACTTGCGTTTTGCGCCTCCTGACCCGGGAGTGCAGCACCGAAGGACTCATGTTTGAGGCTTTTGGGCCGAAAGACCATACTATGCAAGGCTTTTTGGACATGTTGAGCCCTAAACCCTAAACTTTCTAAACCCTAAGCCCTAAATATTCGGCTTAAGCACTATATTTGCAACAGAAGGCCGCTCGACCGCGCACTCCCCGGACTGAACAAAAAAGGTGTATCCCGCGAGGTCTTCGAATCCCCCAAACTACTAGGTTCCCTGGTAGTGCCCTTTTGCCCTTTTTGGTTTGGGGTCTCCTTGATAGAACCAAGTAGTGGAAAAAGGGTACCCTTATTATTACGGGGTTACTGGAGGACCTAGACTAGATGTTGAAGCTCAAGCAACATGCATGATTTGGCTTCTTAGCCCGAATCCCTAAACCCCTAAGCCCTATACCCTAAACCTCTAAACCTCTAACCCCTAAATCCTAAACAGTAAAATCCTACGGTCTCGTAAAGCCACTACGAGCGCATAACATTGGGTTCCTTAAATTATCATAATGATAGTGATACTATTAAGCCTCAAGAATTGCCTATACTATTTTAGGGGGTTCCTTATCATGACTGTAGTACTTATAATGGGCCCCAAAACCCTACTTTAACTATCAAGGCCCCTATATTAACACCCGCAGCGATATGACGAGCAGCAGCTCTAAATTGAGCCGAAGACACCCCGACAGGAACCCATAAAACCTCCAAGCAAGCACTGTAAAGCCCTTAACTTTCCATCGGGCTCGAAGCGCTCAAAGATGTTACGACTGTCCTTCAACACCATAATAATGGAGGTCCTTCGGTCTCTGTGGACACTTACCCTTAGCATCAAAATAGCCCAAAAGCCTTATATAATAGGGTCCTTGGGCCCAAAAGCCTTACAATATGAGTCCTTTGAGGGTAAGGGTTAGGGTCATTAAGGAGCTCAGGTACTTGAGCGTCTGCAGCCTGATCTTCTGCTACCTCTCAGAGGGTGAGTGGTCCTTCAACGATGGCGTCGACTGGGCGAATATATGGGAGTTTTCCGAAAATTGGGGGGGTACCTTCTTTTGGGGTCCTTATTATAAGGATCCTACTATTTAGGGTACTATATTAGGGTCCCCTATTTTCGGAAAGCCCCATATATGTTTCCACTAGACGTATTAGGTCATGGTGTGTCTGGGTGATGAGAGGCTGTGACGTCCCTGCATAATTTAACTAGCCACTAGTCAACGGCCTATGGGGACTAGGGTGTCAGCATAGCGTTCGTCTCAGGGAATTGCAGGCTTTTTGGGCGGCTCCGGGCTAAGTGTCTGTAGCGATGCAGACTGAGTGGCCTGCAATGCTTCCAATTGTGAATATACCGGGCATGCTTGGCCAATCAGGCGCACTTGCCCACAGCCGCCCAAGCCACCAAGACTACCGCGACATCTTTCTATACCGAGCCGTGACCGTCCCAGTCAATCGGGTAACTGCGAACCGGTCTTGTGTTGAAATCGCCTGCATAATTGTAGTGTCTGTAAGTCTTAAACCGATGGTCCGGAAGCACCAACTACGCACCCATTCCCGCGTGCACATGCAGTTGTTGATTAAATTGGTTTTGCATGGCCGTGGTATTCAGAGCTTGTTGTCCTCAGCGCGCCTTCACCTGTCATTAGATCCTGAACCTCAGACTGACAACTCCAACCTTAAACCTTAAACCCTTACTTAGATCCCTACACCCTTAACCCTAAACCCTAAACTTAGATCTACTTCTGCCTCGTGACCCTCACGACCGTCGGTTTTGGTGACCTGGTGCCCTGCGTTGCGCTGAGATGCCGGGTTACTGGCATGGCTCCTCGACGATATACAGGGTTGAGGTGTTCGCGCTTGGGATTTAGGGTTGAGGTCTTAGGGTTTTGGAATTTAGGGTTCAGTCTTCGAGTTTAAAGTTTTTGGGGTTTAGGGTGTGCTCTTAATCTGCTTCTGCTTTCGAACTTGGCTTTTTGGATGTTTAGGGTTGGAGGGGCTCCGAGAGGTTTAGGTTTGAAAGCTCAGGGCCCAATTCTGCAGCTTCTGGATTCTCAGAGTAAGCCCTAAACCCTAAGCCCTAAGCTCTTTCCAGCTCTGTTTCTTAGTTCCCGAATACCCAACCTTTAAACGTCCTGGGGTTCTTATAATTTAGTAGCAATCTGAAAGTTTAACCCTTTATTTCCCTGGCTTAATTGCGGAAGTAAGGTCTTGCAACGTTAAGGAACAGAGCTTGGAGGAGAAACGGATCCTTACGAGGGCCGCAAGACAGGCCCAGAACACGTAAACCTAAAACCTCGAAGGCTTAAAGGTCCCTTTTGCCTTAGAAAAGAAAACGCGTAGGGCTTGTCGCTCTGAACACGGATACAGAACTCAGACACTTGGATTATAAGGGTTTTTAAGGTTTATAATAGGGTTTAAGGTTTAGGGTTTAGGGGTTTAGGGTGTCTTGCAACCAGGTTTCGAAGTGGGCTTTTGCTTCTTATCTGACGTGCAGAAAAGTACGGCTGCAATCCCTGTAGAAGTGGCTTCAGTCAGACAGGGGGTTCGATGCAGGGATATTATCCATAGGCCCCTACAAGTAGTTCCTTTTTGGGGATTACCTTATAGTTCCTTTTTGGGATTACCATAGGCCCCTAAGTAGTTCCTTTTTGGGATTACCTTATAGGATTCTATATAAATCTAAGCCAGAAAACGGAACTACTTAGGGGCCTATGGGTAATGGCCGTCCTGGTCCCCGAAGCTACGAAATCCAAGCAATCTTTGGTTCTACCCGGGGGAGTTGGGGGGGACCTGGCAAGTTGGGTTCGAGTCCAAGAGGCTCTCGATGATCAGACACCGTGCGCTCAGGCATAACCTTGCTGACTACTTGGAGGTTCATGGGTAGTCATACGTAGGGTTATAAGTCCTCCTAACATGGGTTATAACTGTATAACCCTACTTCTAACCCCACTTACAACAACCCATGAACCTCCAAGTAGGTCCCCCAGATCCTTTAAGCAAACCTCCTGCCGAGGCCCAAAGCCTCAAGCCGCCTTTCCCACCCTCCTGACAAGGTGTTCATTTGGACGAATGTTCTGCTAGTCAGCGCCCTCCATGGCACCTGAGTTGCAATGGGGGTCTGGGCACTCAAATGTTTTTTTCCGTAAAGTGGAAACTGCGGTTTAGTGTCGCTCCAACAGTGCCCTCGCAGTACACATGCGCACTTGAGTCATTCAACGCTTCATGCTACGGACCCTCGCTCACACAGCTTCGACAAAATCTTGGAATTATCAAGCCAGATCGTGACATGCACTGCCCTCAGGTCAATTTCTCAGCACCGGAAACCATCGCACAAAAGTAGGAATCGAAGTTCGACAGCCGACGAACGCTCTGAGCTCATCTTCACTTGCTTTGGAGTGAACCGCCCGGATTTATGCGAAGTGTGTAGATGGCGATGCTGCATAAGGAAGACATGGCAGTCTGCTCGACCACAATATAAGGAGTTGTGCAGACTGCCTTTGTCTTCTGTTATCTTCCATTACCCTCAAAGGACTCATATTTGTTTAAGGCTTTTGGGCCCAAAGACCCTACTATACAAGGCTTCTGGGCTATTTTGATGCTAAGGGCTTGAGCTGCAGCGACACTGGAAGTTATGTCGTGACTAGTGTGCGGCTTTGGTTTTGCATGGTTTTGCATTTCAGTAGGTGGAGAGATGAGCCATAGGGTTTAGGGTTTAGGGACCCTGAGCCCTGGATACAGGTGCTGTAAAAGAAGGAACGCCGCGAGCCCTGTTCTCTTAAACCCGGTATGGACTTTATAGTAAACCCTAAACCCTAAACCCTAAACCCCTAAACCCTAAACCCCTAAACCCTAAACCCCCAAACCCTAAATTTCAGGCATTGTCGGTGCCAGAGTCGAGCGTGAAATCTCGCGCGTTGGCCGACGGCTGGGTCTGTCGCAACTGGCGGTCCATCTTCTGGCCTTGAGCTTCTTCGTCGGAGTGCTTGGGAAGAACATAGCTGTCTTCCGTCGGCCCTCTACTAAAGGACTCTTGAGGGGTTCTTAAGGGTTATATAATTCATGTATCGGTTCTATGTGGGTTCTATAATTTGGCAAGTTCTAGATCGAAGTGCTGTTGCAAGTGTGGGGCTTTGAGGCTGTTACAGATTTTGCACTTGCTCTGCAAGATTGGGCCATTGAAGATGATTCTATGGAAGTGGATGGAGGGGGCCATAGGTGGGAGTTTCCGAAAATAAGGGGTACCCTCTTTTGGGGTCCTTATAGTAAGGATCCTACTATTTATTGTGCTATATGAGGGTCCCCTATTTTGGGAAACTTCAGGTGAGTGGATAAGCCATTGTGTGAGTTCCCGTAATCCATGGAAACCAGCCCGAAGACCAAAGCCAAGGTGCTAGCAGCGGGATACAGCAACTACGAGGACAAGTCCTTACTGGACGGCATCTACTTCTCTGCTTCGACTTTGAGCACGGCTGCAAGTCTCAACTAAGAGGTATGTTCCCCTACATACTAACTCAGATCGGCTCAGCAGTGTGACTACCTTGGTGGCGACCCTAACACCCTAAGTCCTAAACGCATAAGAAACGAACCTAAACGGTTTTAATTTAAGAAGCAAGCCCAACTTGATCCCCAAAAAGAATCTTGCGCACACCCCAATGCCCCCAAACCCGTAAACCTCATCACGCAATGGACCCGGATAGGAGGCCTCAAGAAGTCCTGAGCGCACTTGTGCTTTCTAGAAGGCCCCTGAGTAAAAAAACAGAGAGATCGGCAAAAAAGCTGAGAGTTCAGTGTAGTCCAGATTTGTGGAGCCTTCAGAGGGGCCTTAGACTAGTACTTAGCAAGCGTGCTCCTCAGCATGCCATATTGCCGTTAAGTTCAGGGTTTAGGGTTGGTTGAGGTATCTCTTTCAGGGGTTCCTATTCTAGGGCCAGAAAGGATCGGTGCAAGGCAAGGGCCCGAGGCTCAGTTGGGGCGAGTCCGCGAAGAGCCCCAAACCACTTGACATACTAGTGCGGGGTTTCGGGTTGAAGAGGGTTTAGAAGGAATCCCTTTCGGGTTGAAGAGGCTTTAGAAGGAATCCATGACAGCTTTGTTCTGGTACTCGTAGGTTGTTTTGTAATATTTGTGAATTGATGATTTCCACGGGCTGTTCCGTGATTTATTGCTCCCTAGTTCAGAATATTCCACAAACTTTACATGAGCGATCAACAGCCCCAGCCCTAAGGGTCCAAGTGCCTCATAATAATATGCTCTTCTGAATACTAACCTACAACACTACTATCCGTAACCCAAGTACATGATTATTAGGTCCTTTGGTCTTACCCTTACCCTCAAAGGACTCATATTTTAAGGCTTTTGGGCCCAAAGACCCTACTTTATAAGGCTTTTGAGCTATTTTGATGCTAAGGGTTAGGCCCTAAACACTAAACCCTAAGCCCTAAACCCGAAAACCCTAAGCCCTAAACCCGAAAACCCTAAACCCCTAAACCCATTAGTCCTTTGGACTCTTAGGGTAGCAGAACAAAAGAGGAACCGACTTCTTGGGCCAGCAGACTTCCCGAGCTCCAGCTTGGGGGTTGTGGTTTTAGGGTTTAGGGTTTAGGGTTTAGGGTTTGGGGTTTAGGGTTAAGGGTTTAGGGTTTAGGGTTAAGCGTTTAGGGTTTCGGGTTTAGGGTTTAGGGTTAAGGGTTTATAGGGTTAGGGTTTAGGGTTTATAGGGTTAAGGGTTTAGGGTTTAGGGTTTGGGGTTTAGGGTTTAGGGTTTAGGGTTAAGGGGTTTAAAGGGTTTAAGGTTTATAGGGTTTAGGGTTTAGGGTTTAGGGGTTAGGGTTTAGGGTTTAGGGTTAAGGGTTAAGGGTTTAGGGTTTATAGGGTTTAGGGTTAAGAGAGTTTAGGGTTTAGGGTTTAGGGTTTAGGGTTTAGGGCTTGGGGGTTCGCAGGGGTTTTACAAGGTTTAGTCGGGGTTGAATGCGGCTCTGATGGAATATACCCATAGGCCCCTAGGTACTTCCTTTTTTGGGGGTTACCTTATAGGATTCTAAATATGCACCATAAAAAGGAACTACTTAGGGGCCTATGGGTAGGGCTGAACTTTTTTGTCAGAATAAGGTCGGGGACTCACGGGTTGAGGTGTGTAGTGCTTGAGGATTTAAACCAGTAATGTAGGGTTTGGCGAATGGACTGGGTTTCGGAAAACGCTGCAAGAAGGAACCTAAAGACTCCACCCGGATGCCTCCCATGTGGGGTCTGTTCGAGACTATGCCGTAGACCCTAAAGGAGACTTCGTTTGGAGCATCACTATGCCGATCTGACAGGTCTATGCTACCCCCCCAATCAAATACAAGCCCAAGGCCCTAGGCCTTAGACCCTACAAACCCTTTAAGCCTTTCAAGCTCTAAACCCTGAGCTAAACCGAAAAATGGCCCCTGAACCCTAAACCCTAAACCCTGAACCCATGATGGGGGGGAACCCTAGGTCGGATATGGGGCCATCGCGCCGAGTCCTGGAACGTCGCGGCTGCTCATGTGAGCTTTGACTGAAGTCCTGTTCTTCCAGGGCAATTTACGGATCACCCTAAACCCTGAACCTTGTTGTCTTCTTGCAGTCCCTGTGTAGTCGCGGAGTAGTTTAGGTTTAGCATGGTATGCCACAAAAAACCCTGTGCTAGGTATTACTCTTACGCGGTGATTAGGACTTCAAGGGCTCGAGCCCTTTGCAGAGGCTGCGGCTTGCTTTGATCTCAGAGTTTCAGTCATATAAGTTCTTAGGGGCTGAGTAGGTAACCTTTAACCTTGTCGGGCTTATATAAAAACTATTATAACTCAAAACATTAACCTCTTTGGAGCTAAGGTACTCGGCCCCTAAGAGTTACATATTCAACCTTTAGATCATCCAGGTCGACTGTCGGAGCTTGCCTTCTGAGGTTGAAGTTTAGGATTTAGGGATTACAGGGTTTAGGGTTTAGGGCTTAGGGTTTAGGGTTTAGGGCTTAGGGTTTAGGGTTTAGGGTTAAGGGGAGTTTCGTTCACACTTCGGGTTCGGGGTTGGTGATTATGGAGTTCAGGGTTTCGGGGGGCTGGGCTTGCAATTTGGGTGCTTTGTGTCCGTTCAGAGGCGGGCGAATGCTTGGGGCGCAATCATCAGCTTCTGTCCAGGTATCGGAACCTTCACTCCAACAGTTCGAACGCGCAATGGTCAAATACTCCTCCAAATACGAGCCCATAGGTATCGTCTTAAACCCAAGTACCTGAACGATGGGGTGCATAGAACCTAAGCCTGACAATGATCAACTTCCTGAGCACTAAACCCTGAAGCCTATAAACCCCGAAGTAATCCCCATTGAGCTCTTACTTATGCAGGAAGCCTACAGTAGCCCTGAAGCCCCCTGTAAACGAACCCGACTTGGACACCACCCTAAACCCTAAACCCCAAACCCTAAACCCTTTCCTTGGCGCGCCACCAGGCCCGATCCTGTTCGTCGGCGTGGTCTCTCGTCTCGAAGGGCTTGAGGTGCGTTCAGGGGTCCTTTAAGGGCACTACACGTGTACCTCTAAGGGCTCCATGGGGCTTAGGGTTTAGGGTTTTGGGACTTGAAGTGGGGTTCAGGGGTTGGGGATTTATGGCTGAGGGCTCAGAGGGTTTAGGGTACGGTTGATGATAGAATTCCTGGATTACCCCCCAAAAAATAAGGAATATATACCATAATTCCCATAGTTTAGAGTCCTTAAGGCCTTAAGGTCAGTGCAGGATTTATATCATGAACGGTATGGCTTCAGTCAAGAAATCTTTGCAACTTCACGGAACCCTGAATGGAAAGCCGTCAGACCCTGGCTTTCTGGGACTTCAAGTCAACAACGGCAAACCCCGCTAATTACCCCAAGTCCAAGCCCCGAAAACAATCAACTTTTTGAATTCCGTATGACTCCTCGTGAGACCCTATAACGAAATGCTATGACATGCTTAGTTAAAGACGAACTGAATTCGCTGAGGTGTCCGTCGGCAACATCGCATCTTATTTGGCAGATGCTGCAAAGGCCAGACTCGAGGTCAAAGTGCACATCACCTGCTTCCTGGTCGGATTTTTTGAGGGTTTAGGGTTTAGGGGTTTTAGGGTTCTTTAAGAGGAGTTTCGGATTCGCTCCAAGGGCTTTGTAGGAGTTTAGAGCTTTTCTTGGTTTAGGGCTTATAGGGTTTGTAGGGTTTAGGGGTATAGGGTTTAGGGTTTAGTTCAGGGTTTAGGGTTTAGGGTTAGGGCGGCTTTGGCTGCACTGTAAGTGGTTTCAGTATTGTTCAGGATCTTTAGGGTTTCCATCAGGCGACTGTGAGGGTATTTTCTCTTGCTGAGGGGCGCATTTATACAAGGATCTGAGGTTTCTCATGTTTATACGGAACCCTAAACCCTAGACCCTAAACCCTCACCTCTAGGCCGCAATCCTCTCAAGCCTGCACCCGAGTCGGGGACCGAGGATTAAGCTTTTCTGATCGGAGCCGAGGCTACGACAAGCCGACGCGAGCCGTCATCAGCGCAGCTTACCAGCTCTAACCCTAAACCCTAACCCCTAAACACAAAACCCTAAAGCCTAACCCCTAAACCCTAAACCCTAAGCCCTAAAGCCTAAACCCTAACGAGCACTGCTACGCCAGTCTTTGAAGCATGCTTTTGATTCAAGATTCACTACAGGTGCCCCAAGCTTGATGATAATATTGCTTCAGGTTCCCTTATGTAGTTCCAGTTTGCAATTCCCTAAACATCCCACAGCCGTCACTACGCTACAGATCTTTTTGGTTGAAGTAGTCATCGTATCAGGTACATTGTACATGCTCAGGAGAGTCCATTATGGTTGTTGAGTATTTCGACCTTTTACCTGCCAATTCCTGGAATGCCTTGAAACGTTAAAAACAAAACATGCTATAGTGCAAGCGTTAACGACGTCTCCCAATCGGAGCCCTTTTCCCTTTTATTGCGCGGCCTCCTTGGGGAAACAGAGTTGCCAATGCAGAGACTGATAGCATTGTTCCCCCAAGGGTCCAAGTGCCTAATTCTCATATTACTCTTCTGAATACTAACCTACTAAACTACTATCCGTAACCCAAGTACATGATTATTAGGTCCTTTGGACCCTTAGGGTTCTTGTGTTGTGATGCCAGTCCTGTACTTTACGTTCTGGTACGCGTGGACCGCAGTAGACTGCTCCACAGTGCAGAAGCGGGTAGGGGGAACTTGTCTTTAAAATGAACTGTTAAGGGTTTAGGGTTTGGGATTTAGGGTTTAATTAGGGTTTAGGGTTCACCCTCCGTGAGAGCCTACAAGTCCGTGCAGGACCGCAGGTGCTGGGGGTCTCCTGAGCTTTTAAAGCCTCAGCCCATAGAGCCTTCACCCTCAACCCTTCGACCCATTAGACCCATTGGTTTAGGAGTTCAGGGGTTTAGTGGTTTAGGCGTTTAGGGCTTAGGTTTGATTCATGTTAATCCTCTACCCTGTGAAACTACGGTGAAGGTTTTGTTAATAGGTGGAGGGCGGCCGGACCGCCAAGGCCACGGAGGTATTCTAACAGGTTCTGCTCTAAACGTTAAGGGATCTTATTTAAGTGACCATAATGGGGATCTATAGTTCTTGATTATGGCAAAAGTTCATGCACGTTTTGAAAACCGCAATCGTTGCAAAAGGATTTCTCGGCCCAGGCCCGACGTGTCTAAAAATCCTCCCCGTGCGAACCCTAACCCCTTTACCCTAAACCCAGAAACCCGCCCAAACATCCCGCAACCCTAAACCTCTATACCCCAAACCCCTAAACCCCAGAAACCCGCCCCAAACATCCCTCAACCCTAAACCTGTATACCCCAAACCCCTAAACCCCCGAAACCCCCAAAGCATCCCTGAACCCTAAACCAGATTCTGGTGATCCTGGGCGCGGCATCCTTGGGCGGACTTGTCTTCAAGTACGCCGGTGGCGAGGACAGCCACATGCGAGAGGGTTGTACATAGTTTTAGGGTTTAAGGCCTGGTTTCCCTAAAGCCCCTAAAGCCCCTGAAACCCCTGAAGCACTAAACCCTAAACCCAAAAACTTAAACCCTAAAACCACTCAACCCTAAAAACCCAAAAACACCTAAAACCTAAAACCCCTAAACCTAAACCCCCTACACCCTATAAACTCTAAAGCCAGGGTTCGTGAGGCTTAGGGTTCAGGCGGTTTGGGGTTTTAATTCGTGCCCAGGGTCACGGAGTTGGAAGTGTTGGGGTTGAAGGCTGACTTCAAAAGGCCGACTCACTGGCTTTCGCAGGGGTTTTGGGATGAGTTTGGTGGTTCCTTATGGTATGAGGGATGGCGAACTTACGTCAGATTTAGGTCAGTTTAGGTCTGTTCCTTCATAGATAGCTGGGTAGCTAAACCCTAAACCCTAAAACCCTAAAACCCTAAAACCCTAAACCCTAAAACCCTAAACCCTAAACCCTAAGCCCTAAAACCCTAAACCCTAAGCCCTAAACCCTAACCCAAGACAGGATCCCCTTTTTGACATCTACAACACAAGTTGCCTAAACCCTAACTCCCTCAATCATAAGCACGAAAAGACCCTAGAGACCCCAAGCGCCTTAAACCCGAACCACTACGCCTTAAACCCTAGAAGGCCCTCAACCCCCAACCTCAACAAAAAACTAGAAACCCTAAACCTTAAGCCTTAAATTGGATCCCAAAGACTAAAAACCTTAAAACCTAAAAACCCTAAACCTTAAGCCTTAAATTGGATCCCTAAGTCTTAAACCTTACACCCTCAAAGAGATAGCGTGCCGGCAGGACTGGAGCTTTAACGAAGCATTGTACTTTTCCGCAGCCGGGTGGCAGCTTGGGATTCGGGAAGTAGAAGTGCAGGGCTTTAGGGTTTAGGGTTTAGGGTATGGGTTTGGGATGTAGAGGTTTAGGGCTTTGGGCTTCAGGGCTTTAGGGTTTTGGGGCTGGGTATCGGGTTTTAGGGTGGCTCAGGTTAGCCATTTACTTGTGGGGCAGAAAGGTGCCAGAAGGCGGGCGAAATTTGAGGTTTAGGGGCGGGCTTGTCCCCGAAATCATCAACACGCACCTGAACCCTTAAATCCCTGCATCCATCCGAAACCATAATCCCTGGAGGCCCAAATATGCCCAAATCCATCAATCGGCGCGACATTCCCTGGAACCGATCAGCTTGACTTGAGCTGGCTGGCAGCCCTCGGCGACAAGGGCAAACATGTGTTGGTCTTCATGGCCACCTTGCCTTACAGCTCCAAACTCGATGAAGCAATCAGACCTGGCAGCTAACGGGGCAAGAATACGCAGCAGACATTCTTGTTCATCTGGCTAGTGACGATGGCATACTTTAGTCTATGAAAACCCGACTTCCACACACCCTAAATCCTAATCCCTGCACCCTACCTTAACCTACCAAAACCTACTTGTTTGTAGGGTCCCTATAAATTCCATAGTAAGGTTTAGAATAAGAACCTACAAAAAAGTAGGGTTTGGTAGTTTAAGGTGTACCTGAACACTGCTAGACTGTAGTTCCTAAACCGCAGCCCTACTTCAGACAGGTAGTCACAATGACCACTGTCGGCTTCGGTGACTTCGCGCCGTGCCTGGGCGGCTAAACGCCGCAGAAGCTTACCATAGCCTCCAGAGTTTGGAGGTTTCGAGGTTCCTGGGTTTTAGGGTTTATAGGGTTTAGGGGTGGGGGTGTAGGGGTTTAGGATTTTTAGGGTTTATAGGGTTTAGGGGTTTAGGGGGTTCAGGGTTTAGGGGTTTAGGGTTTAGGGGTTTAGGGGTTTAGGGGGTTCAGGGTTTAGGGTTTAGGGTCTGCTACTAGCCGTCGCGTTGCTAATGGATCGAAGTGTGTCTTCTTGCGCAGAGTTTTGTGCGAAGGTCTACACTTCCTTGGCGTTGATGCTTTCATGCTGCAGACACTGCAGGGGTTCTAGACTCGGGAAACTACTTGCTGGAACCCTAAACCCTAGACCGGCTGATCGTTCTTTCTTGTTGGGCGGTTTGCAACCGAACATGTTCAGAAGCCTCGATGACGTAACATACAGGACTTCGTGACTTCGTGCGTTTACGGTTTAGGATTTAAGGGTTTTAGGGTCTAGGTCTACGTGCTGTTCGCTTTGTTCTGGTGCAGTGGCAAGGCAGTCATAGAAAGCTCTTGTCTTTCCATGCTGGCCAGTATCGAAAAAGCAATAATTGGAAGTGCTGCAGGACAGTATGTGTGTTTGGACAAGCACATCTTAAGCGCTCACCACCTGATTATAGGACAGCTTAACAGTGTAGGGTATGTGTATACGAGGGAGTAAACTAAAGTACATAGTATATGATGTACTACACCCTAAGGGTCCAAGTGCCCAAATAGTAGGGTTTCAAGGTCCAAAAGCCATTCAGCGTATGGACGTTGGAACCTAAAACCTTACTATTCGGGTAGTCGGACCCTCTGGCATATGGGATGGTGTGCATATACATGTATAGGTATATACATACTAGTATAGCAAAACAGACTATTACATGGTGCAATATGTACTGTACAGTATAGTTTGCATCAAGAGAGTGTCTATATAGTACACACTCGATTATAAAGTAGATTATGTAATATGTTTTTTTTCAATGTGTGTGTGTATACATACATATATATATATACATATATATATATATAACGATACATGATATTTAGTATGGTATAGCATAAGGTATTGTATAAAGGCTACGATCTACAATACGATATTGAAAACAGTGTTGTTTTTTGTACACGATGAAATAATATACTAAATAGTACACTTTAAAAAAGGATCGGGACTATGAACCCTGGGAGTGCACTAGCACCCCACCCATCTCCCAACACCCCCCCTCTCATCCCCAAACCCCCAAGAGATCAGATGAAGGATTGTAACTGTAGGGTGCTACTACTACTGCTACGACTACTACTCCAAGTGCTACCACCATTGTCACCAACTCGCGCCAACAACAACACCACCCAATGCCCTAAAGCCTATCCTTTACCGAGCGAAGGATATCGACGAACTTCCAGAAAATCCTGGCGGTGCTCTTTATCATGC